TACGTCTCACCTATATGTGATACAACTATTTTTACGTTAATTAATTAGCACATATACGAAATCCAGGAATAACTCCTCATAGTTTGCTCAAATGTAAGGTTTGAATATACGAACGTGATCTACTTGATGATGTGAACCCACACAAATTTTTAGAAAGATTTTTTTACACCGAACATGCCCTCACACGCCAGCCATGAGCAGGCATGTGCACGGCACACTAATGGAAACCCTAACGCCATTAGAATATTCCCTTAAAGTTAACGGAATATACTTTCCTCTTCTCTGGTCACCAGCCGGTCTCCGCCGTCTACCACTGCCGGTCGCTGTCTTCACATGCCGGTTTTTGGAAAATTTTAAAAGCTTTATATCTACTTCATTTCTTAACCAAAATCCATGAAATTTCTATGGATTTGAAGGTCTTGAAGAGTAGAACATGTTCGTACCTATTAGAAGTCCAAAATCTAACGAAAAACAATCGGAAAATTCCTTGGAAAATCCGGCCAACTTTGCAACTCTTCAAATTCACCTATTCCGATGTCCACTCCACTCCAAATCTACTCTAAAGTGCTATGGAAGTTGCATAAAGACCATCCCGAGCCTCAAAACCTTGTAAATCGTTCGTGATTGTGCTGAAGCAAACTAACTCCTTGTCGTAGCTTCTGGTTTTTGAGCTAAAACTCACAAAAACGGAAAACTAAGGGTATGGTGGTGATCGTGTGGTCGAGAGGAGGATGGTGGTGGTTTACAAAAGTTCGATCCGTGTGAGTTTGATGATGGTTGTGTATATGGGGTGTCTTAGGTGTGTGGAGGGAGAAAAGTTGAGAAGGAGAAAGAGAAAATGAAGAGTGAGTGTGTGTGTGTGTGTGTTCTGATTGGCTAAGAGAGAGAGAGAGAGAGAGAGAGAGAGAGAGAGAGAGAGAGAGAGAGAGAGAGAGAGAGAGAGAGAGAGAGCGCTAATTTTAATTGGCCCAAAAGAAGAAAAACAAATTATCTTATTGGGCTAAAAGAAATAGGAGCCCATATAATTGGTCCACAATTTGCCCATTTACGCACCTAAATAATCGTAACTTTTTTGTTATGTCTCCAATTCGGTTCTAACTTGCTTCAATGCACTTGCGACGTCGAGTACAATTTAATTACGACAACGGAAATAATAATTTAAAACTGCATATACACATCCACGTCACTTAGCCAATGAGGGCATATTCGTCACTTTACACGCTCAAGGAGAAAATTATATAATAAATTGGGACGAGTTGCACATTTTTAATTACTTATCAGAATTTAAATATTTTTAGACTAAAATGTTCATAAAAACAAATTAAGATAATCTACGCAAATTTTATTTTTAAAAAAAATACCGAAAACAAAAAGTTAGGTTAAAATCATTAGTTAATCATCATGGTCTAAAATTTTAAGCCACAAGGGTTAGAGGAGAAAAATAGTTTATGGCTTATGGCTTAAAATTTTCAGGCTTAAATTTTTAAGCTTTATCCCCAAGGGTTGGAGATGGTCTATGGGACATTAAAAGGATGAGGGGAAGTTTGAACTTTAAATCCGATATATAGTAGGTCAAAGAGGAAACCACTAGAGTAATCCACCACTTGCCAAAAGAAAATTTAAAAATGCTAGGGAGACCATCTTTTTAAACTTTATTTTGTAAACCACATAATGTGACGGTTGATGATTGGATTCATTTTATAATGAATTAAAGAGAGAATCCAATAATCAACCGCTACATCATGTGGTCTTTAAAAATGATCTCTTTAGCATCACAATGAGATTGAAGATTGCTCATCATCTTTGGGGCTTTCACCAAATATTCTTGAATTAGATACTCAAGCTGAGATTTCTTATTTGCAAAGTTCAAGTTTAACATTGTTGTTGAAGGTGTTCTCATTGAAGAAATAAACTCTCACTTTTTCTTTTTCGCTTATATAGTGCCTCAATATGTGCCATGTGCAAATAGTTGGACAATGCATCTTCTAGCTAAGAATGTGCTTATATCTACCAAGTTTAGTGCGTGACTTGAAGGTGAATATTATATCATGTATCTCTATATGCTTTAAATGAATATAACTTCTTTTATCCAAAAACGCAAAAACCTTCTTCATCACAAAAACAAAAACAAAAAAACAAAAAAAACAACAAACCTAGAGTTTTTTTTCTTGAACTTGTACCTCAAATTCAATTTTGGTAAATCCTCAATCGAATAAATAAGTGTCCTATACTCCTTTGTCTAGGTAATCACTTATGGGAATTGTAAGAATATCATTTCCTTCTAAGAAAGAAAAAGGTAAAATTTTCGCTTATGTATTCGCTGATGAGAAATGCAAGAATATCATTTTTTTTTTCTAAGAAAAAAAATACAATATTGAAATTTGTGAGCATATACCAATCAAGATTGTCTATTCATCATTCATGTGCACGTTAAAGATAATTTTCTCATATTCACAAACGGCAAATTAGTAGATTTATAGACTATATAAAAAAAACAATGCGAGTTACATCTATTATTTTTCCAACACGAGTGATATCAATTATGAATCTTATGATGCATGTGAATCTTGCTATATATATTTTAAAAACATTGTTCGTTTAGAGTAATATTATTCTTACCATATTATTATATCATAATTTCTATACCACCTTATGTGGCAGCTTACTTGGACATGTCACATGCCACATCTTTAGTTTTAGTTTTATTATTACTATAATTAACACTTATTCTTTAAAAAAAAATTAATAATTAAAACACCCTAATTAGAATTGATTAGGTCTGACACTTCATTTTCCACTCCATCTCCTTTCTCCCTCTCACCCCAATCTCCTCCCTCCTTCCTTTTCAGCCTCCAGCAATCTCCATTTTTTTTGTCAAATTTTATTTGGTTTCTAACTGATCGTATTTTTTTTCCTTTTTATTGTCATAAATAAGGGTTAGCTAATCGTTTTATTGAACAATGACTTTATATGCATCTTTAAAATTTTGATGGAGTCAAAAGGAACAGGTTTTCTATCAAATTGAAGGTTATGGGGTCACTGTTCTTGAAAAATCCTCAAATTTATACTGCAGTTGCTTGCCAATTATTGAAATTAATTATGCTTTTTTTTTGCCTTTCGCAATTGGCCTTTTGTTTTTTGTTTTTTTAATGTTCTTTCTATTTGTTATGGAAAAGAGGAGGAAGGAGGATGAAGAAGCACAAGACAATTAGAGGAACTTTAAGGAGGGAGGAGGAGATTGGGATGACGAGTATTTGAGGACGACTAGACGAGGGATGCAAGAATATGAAAATTGAAGCGTTTTAATTCAATCTAATATCTGTTTCTGAACAAAAACTAATTAAAATTAAGGCTAAATAGCCAAAATGGTCCCTGAGATTTGTGTAACTCATCACTTTGGTCCCTAACATTTCAAATCGATAAAAGTGGTCCTTGAGATTGTCCACCATCCATCATTTTGGTCATTCCGTTAAAAACTCTGTTAAGTGTCTCGGAGCTTTTGGCCGAAAGTTCAGGCAATTTTCAAAGCTTCGTAACTCAATCGTTTCTTAACCAAATTCGACCCATAATATATCAAAATGAATATGGGAAAGTGTAGAATAAGATTATACCTATTTGGAAGCCCAATGGTTGCCAGAGATAGTCGGAAAATAGCCTAAAAGTTGACTGGTGCGAGGGAAAACTTGAAAACTCGTCGAAAACTGGGTAAACTTTAAACATTCATAACTTCTTCAATACTCAACAAAATCAAGTGATTCAAAAATAAAAATCATACTTCTCGACGAGAAAAAAAGAATGTTACCTTTTGTGATGGATAAATCGCCGTGTTTTGGCCAGAAAACGACTCAAAAGTGGCTGTCTTGGTCTCGAGTTAGCCACTTTTGAGCCATTTTTCTGGCCAAACCACAACGATTTAGCCATCTAAAAAGGTACCATTCTCTTCATCTTATCAAAAAGTATGATTTTCATTTTTGAATCACTTGATTTCGTTGAGTATTGAAGAAGTTATGAACGTTTAAATTTTACCCAGTTTTCGGCGAGTTTTCAAGTTTTCCCTCGGACCAGTCAACTTTGAGGCTATTTTCAGGTCATCTCCGGCAGCCATTGGGCTTCCAAATAGGTATAATCTTATTCTACACTTTCCTATCTTCATTTTGATATATTATGGGTCGAATTTGGTTAATAAACGATTAAGTTACGAAGCTTTGAAAATTGCCCAAACTTCCGGCCAAGAGCTCCAGGACACTTAACGGAGTTTTTAACGAAATGACCAAAATGATGCATGGTGGACAATCTCAAGGACCACTTTTATTGATTTGAAATGTTAGGGACCAAAATGATGAGTTATGCAAATCTCATGGACCATTTTGGCTATTTAGCCTATTTATAAAATTTATATGGAAATATATTGTAGTTAAGTGAAGTGACATGTCCAAGTCAGCTGTCACATAATGTGGTATAAGATTGTGGTATAATAATTTTGTAAGAACAACATTATTGGTCCGTTTAATTATGAAAGAAACTCCCTTGCAACTTATTTAATACATTTTTTTCTGTTCTCTAAGCACCATAAATAACCAACAGGATCATCTTCCAATCATTTTGGTAGAATTATAGGAATTTGTAAATTGTGTTCGTTCATCATACATCATGCAATTAGTATTTGTTAGGTACTGTTTGTATATTAAATAAAAATATTTAAAATAATTTCTGATCACATGATGTATGATTAATGAATATGATTCACGGATTCCTAGAATCTTTACAAACAGGATCCGGATTCAATAAATAAAGGGAGTTTTAACAAAGCATTCCTGGGACCGTTCACTTTTAAAGAAAAACCACACTGACACACCCCGTCCCGAAGAAGGCGTGCTGGCCGTCACGTGAGAGTGACGTAACCATTTACACAGTTCGGAAGCTCTAAAATACAATTACTAAATGGAAACCCCTAAAGGTGAGTCCTACTTTTGTGAATTCTGTCAAAACGCCGTTGGGTTCCTCGTGGCCACCAAAGCTCTGCTAACTTAAACCTGGAGGGGCGAAAAACAAATTTGAGTGGGTCAGTAAAACAAAGTGTTTCGAAAACCTTTCATTTAAAACATTTCTAACCCCTCACCGTAAAACCTGTATACTTTCCCAGAAAATAGTATATATATATAAAACCGTTTATAATCTCAAAACTCAAATCTCAAATCTTTAACATTTTTTTTTTCAAGAAAAGATGTCATGCCATAAATCAAATTATAATCAGGTGGAAATAGGGAATCAATCGGAGACCCTGCAGTTGGTCCTGTACGATCAATTCAATAGCTCAATAATCCCCTCAGCCGGAGTCACCACAGTGACCTATACGGCCCTACTCTGCACATCACACGGAACTACGTAAGGTAGTATGTACGCTAAAAGGTGTAAAGATACGCTCTAGTGCTTCTCACATCAATCATCAGCGCGCATATCTAATGTCACCCACCAGTCGGAACCCCTCTAATGGTCTGTACGACTGGCATGTCGGAACCCTCACACGGTCTGTACGACATCCACCTACTTGGATCCAAGGCGAGCGTGCGGTGTGGTGAATAATATAAGCACTAACACCTAGGGTGCAGATTACGAGCTCAAATTATATCGATCAACCAATTCAATGCATAAATGAACTCACCTGACTTGCCTTTGCATCCACAGCACCATGCAATATGCATGCATCATATATCAATCATATAATTCATAAACCAATTCATGATTTTCAAATAATTCTAGGCATGGCATGTTCAAAACATATTTTCATATAAAAACATTTTTCTGGGAAAAACAGTAGTATATAGGTAATACGAAAACAAAACTGCCTACTCACCTGGAGTTCGCCCAACAACTCCCTAGCACCGTACATCAAGGCGTCGTGATGATCAGTGCCTAGAACAATAATCAAATCCAACCTCAGAAATCCTGCCGATCGAATACATAACTTATATAAGACACGTCACTACGTAGTTCGATCCGGATGATCTGCAACTCAGATTTCAAATCCGTAACTTCCAGAGGTCCACAATATACCTCTAGGACAACATCCTAAAATTTCATTACCATCCAACGGTCGGATCTCCGTCAATTTCCAAAACTAAGTGACGGTTAACATTCTATTTTATGAACTTACAACTTCAATTCCGGAAGATCCGTAAATCGGATTCCCAATCCGTAAGTTCCTATAATCCTCAAATATTACGTATTACAACGTATCAAAGTTTGATGACGATCCAACGGTCGGATCGTCAATTCACATTTTCACCTAACCACGAATCGTAACCAACTTAGGTTCAATTATTCAATTTACGTCCATCAATTATCAAAACTGAACCTAGAACCTCAAACACATGCTAATAATGACATTGGCGAGCCATTGGCCACGCGCCGCCGCGTGGGCCGCCGCGGGTGGCGGTTGGCCGCCCCGGCTCGCCGGAAAATTCAACTATTTCCAAAAATTACCAAAATTTGCAGATTTGAAGATCTCAATGAGTAGAACAACTTTCATACCTGTGGCCAAGGCCAATTTGGCCTGGAAGTGCTTCAATTTCACCAAAACCGTGAAGAACCCTAGAATTGGGTGTTTCCAATTCGACCTTCAAACTTGTTCCAACGCCTCAATTACCTCTTGGGCTTTGTTCTAGGTCCTAAAGGAATGCTAATGGTGTTAGTAATTTCAAGAAAACATTTCAAAATTTGATGAATTTAAACAAAAAGGTCGCGGCACCCGTAGGGGTGTTCTTCGCGAAATCACCATGAAATTCAATGATTCTTGGGGTGAAACGTGAAGAGGGAATGTCTAGATGTTGATTGGGAGTGGTACCTTGATTCAATTCGTCGGAAAATTGGACGAAAATGGCGAAAACCCGCCGATTTGGAAGCTTGGGTCGCGCGGGTCAAGGGTGACCCGTTCCTCCTGTTCCCCCGTGCACCACTCACCCTCCTTTCCCTCCTTTCCTTCCCCTGGTTGGTCAGTTTCTTCCTCTCTCTTCCTCTGATTCGCTCTCATCTTCTTCTTCTCCGATTGGGCATTTCTGCCCAGTCTCTTCCTTCTTTTTTCTGTTTTCTTGTTCTTCTTCTCATACACATACACACACCAAAAACCTTTCCCTCATCTCAGCCATCCATTTCAAATTCCATTAAATCTGGGCCGTCCATTTTCATAAAAGAATTTCTATATTTTACTAAAATTGTAATTCCTTAAAATCCCAAATTTCAAACGTTAATAACTTCTTCGATATAACTTCAAATCACGAACCGTCTGCGCCCACGCGTCCGTAACGACGAGTACTACGGGGATATGTCAAGAAAACAAATCTTAGATGGCACGACATGGTGATTAACCTCGAATAATGCACGTACCTCCAAAGGGCATTTTTGTAAAATCCTTTATTAAAACTTTAAAAATTCTTAAAATTAGTGACGGGCTGTCACAACATTTTTACTATTTTTTTTCTTGATATTATTCATTACATTTTTATTTGTCATTTTTTTATTAAAACTTAAATTTTTCGTTAGTTTTTCTATAAATAAATAAATAGATAGGAGTATTAAATAGGCTGCAGGAAAGCATTAATAGTGAATCATCCGGCCTGCACCAGTGATGGAACAGTTGATTGAGCCTTGAGGTTGACTTACGTATGTAGCTAGTGAGTGTATAATGATGATTATGAATCTCTCCATCTTTCCACAGAATAATTTCAGTGGAGGTAGAGGGAGGGGGTCTACCAACCAATATTATTGCTGCGTGTATGGCCATCACAGGAGGTCCCTTCATTTGGGACAAATGTTTTTATTGTGAAATTGATAATATGCGTGCCATAGAATATTAAATAAAACAAAATATTTATGTGTGCAGTGAAATATGAAGTAAATAAGAACGAATATTTATGAGGTTCGGCAAATGTGTTTACGTCCTCAGGGCAGCTATAGTTGTTTCTCTAATTATGTGAAATAATAGGAATATAAAGCTAACTCTTACTATTTTTCTCTTTATTTCTCTATTTTAGTGTTTTCTTTTTCAATGATGCAAATACTTCTTTATATAGGTCTTGTTCAGATAACACCTTGCATGCATGAAAAAAAAATTTCACCTCCCTAAAACTTTTAATTGTTGACATCAAAGTTTGTTTTGGTTTGCTTTCTCGTACATTCATATTTGTGGCATTCACACTATATTTCACAACACTCTAAATAATTTTAGGGGACTAAAAGTCTTGCATAAGATTCTCATCAACTAATATAAAAAGGGTAATTCTCAGTTTATTACTTGAAGTTTCGTGGTTTTCAAACTTTCATACATTAAGTTTTTTTTTTTTTTCATACTAGTCTCGTACCTAGAGTGAGATTTATAGGACACTTTCATACATCTGTTAAGATTTCCGTCAGAACATCGCGCCCACGTAGACAATTCTTGAGGGCCACGTGTCAATCTAGGCCCACTTGGACACTAAAAAATAAAAAGAAAACTAATGAAGCTTTGCATTTTAACTAAAAATCATCTAATAACTTTATTTAATGATAAAAACAAAAGAAAGAAAATGAAACAAAAGAAAAAACCCAACCAAAATTGCGTGCAAGGTGAACACCAACCCGTGTTCAGTTTTCAGAAATAGTACCCATGCTCATTTTCAGAAATAGTTTATTTAAGAAATAGTCAATGTTCAATTTAAGAAATAGTGATAGTACAAGTGTTCAGTTTAAAAAATTGTGATACTATCTGTGTTCAATTTCAGAAATAGCCAATTTAAGAAATAGTGAAGGAAAAGAGAGAGAGTGTGTCTGATGGAAGCAGGGTCTCGTGCATCAGTTTTTTATTATGCTTTTTAATTTTATTTTTTATTATATTAAAATTTTATCCTTTTCATTAAAATTTAAGTCAATTTCATTAAAATTTAAATCATTTTTCTTAAATAAAGTTATTAGAATAAATTTTGCTCAAACTCTTTTTTTAAAGTTCCCAAAAAAAAAAAATTTAAAATTTTGACATTTTAAACACCTAAAAACTGTAAAACTAAACCCATTTGGCAGGAGTTGTAATTGTAGCCCCACCTCAGAACCCCTAAATTCTAGAGCCTGGGTTTTCAATTCCCGCCAAAAAAATTTAAAAGCACATGCTCATAAACCAATTTCTTATTCCTGTGCTCAATTAGAAACAAAGTAGAAGTCATTATCTCTCAAGTGTAAGGTTGAACCACCACACATAACTATCTTAATTTCAATTGTTATGAATCTAAAATCTAGAAAAGCACAACTTTAACAACTATTGGGTCAAGTTCTAAAATGTTCAATTCATAACAAAGAAGTACCAAAAGACCATAATTTTAACAACTATTGGGTCAAGCTATTCTTCCCAAATATAAGTATCAAAATACCAAAGTTGTTCTCCAAAATACCAAGGGCATATACAACTAGTACCAAAACAAACATTTAAAGAACAAAAAACATAAATATGCAGCTCCTCCTTTTCTATAACCTTCTCTTGAAGTGGTTTGGGAGACTTGAGTTGGCTGAGATGATGGTTATAGAGCTTCCTAAGTGCATGCATGTGATGACTGAGAGGGTTGTGGAGCTTCGGAAGTACATGCATGTGATGCCTTAGATGTTGAAGCCTAAGTAATGAATACATACAAATTCTACAATTCACAAAAAATATATTCACCTAAGTAATGGATAAGTAATGAATAATATATAAATAGAAATTAAGAATCAATCACAAATATAAAAAATTTACCTAACTTTTCTTGCTTTATCTTCCCTTTCTAGCAACTGGACGAGGATGAGTGGTTTGACAACTGACCTTATTGTGTACTGAGCCCTTGCAGATACTACACGTCATAAATTTTTGCCCTCTCTTGCTTAACTTGAATTCATTTTCATATGCCTCCCTTATTCTCTACTTTTTAGGTTTCCCAGGCTCCCTTCTAAATGTAGGAGGAAGAATGCATTTCTTGTCAAGTGGCTCCCAAAATTTCATGCCTGTTGACCCATCATCTCTGTAACCGTATCACCCTCATTATTGACATTTGAACCCATCTTTGCTTTTTTTAGACCATCTCCAATACTTGGGCCATAGCTTAAAAATTAAAGTCAAAAACTTTTAAGCCATAACCCAAAAACTACTTTTCTTCTCCAATGGTTATGGATCTATGGTTTAAAATTTTAACCCAAGATCATTAAATAATGATTTTAATTTTTTTGGGTAACTTTTTTAAAAATTAAACTTATGTAGATTATCTTAATTGATTATTATAAACATTTTAATATAAAAATATTTATCCCGATAATTAATTAAAAATCATACAAATACATAGGTATTTATAAAGTTTTAAGTGAAATTTGATTTAAATATTTTTTTAATTATTTTAGACGTTAGGTTTAATTTTGGGCCGTCAATTTTTTTTTTTACCATTAAATTTGATCTTATTTGATCACAGTTGTTGGATTATAAGTAAAAACAAAAAAAATGTTTGGTGTCACATCTCGGCCCGGGCCCCTACCAAATCCCTGGTTCAACTCCGTCGTAGCACGATATTGTCCGCTTTGAGTCCCGATCACGCCCTCATGGTTATGTTTCTAGGAACTCACACGAGAACTTCCAAGTAGGTCACCCATCATGGGATTGCTCTCGTGCGAACTTGCTTAACTTTGGAGTTCCGATGGAACCCGAAGCCAGTGAGCTTCCAAACGGCCTTGTGCTAGGTAGAGATGAGAATATATATATATATATAAAGCTTGCAGGATCCTCACCCCTGGACGATGTGGGATCTTACAGTCCACCCCCTTAAGGGCTTGACGTCCTCGTCAGCACATTTCCGGCCAGGGATTAGCTCTGATACCAAATTGTCACATCCCGGCCCGGGCCCCCACCACATCCCTGGCTCGACTCCACCGTAGCACGATATTATCCGCTTGGAGCCCCGACCATGCCCTCACGGTTTTGTTTTTGGGAACTTGCATGAGAACTTTCCAGTGGGTCATCCATCATGGGATTGGTCTCGTGCGAACTCGCTTAACTTCGAAGTTCTGATGGAACCCGAAGCTAGTGAGCTCCCAAAAGGCCTCGTGCTAGGTAGAGATGAGAATATATATATATATACACACACACACACATATATATAAGGCTTGCAGGATCCTCACACCTGGGCGATATGGGATCTTACAATTGTGACAACCCATCCTTAATTTGACGTTTTTATAAATTTTAAAAGCGTGAATTTACGAAATGCCTTGGAGGCAAGGACTTTGTCTTCTGTTGACCATCATCTGGAGGAACGTAGGACTTATTCTTTTAGCATATCCTTGTAGTGCTCGTCATTACGAATGAGTTGGCGTGAACAGAATTGAAATCGGAGCTACGGTTAAGTTTTTACGAAACATCGAATACCAAAGGTAAATGGGTAATTTTGTGTTAGAGATAGTTTGAATTAATTGTGAGACATGTGGATATGGTGATGATGATGAACTGACGAATGAATGTTTATGCTAAGGGACTCTCTTTCTCGCTCTCTTTATTCTTTGTGCACAGAAGCATTGTGCAACCATGGTAAGTC